AGTACTACGACAATCGAGTTTAATTAATGAGTTTGATAAAGTTGGTAGGCTGGTTATTTAAGTATCTCCACAATAGAGTTTCATTAAGGAGTTTGGTGAAATGGTAGGCTGGTTATTTGAGTACTACGACAATCGAGTTTAATTAATAAGTTTGGTAAAGTTGGTAGGTTGGTTATTTGAGTATCATAGTAATAGAGTTCCATTAAGGAGTTTAGTAATGTTGGTAGGCTGGTAATTTGAGTATTATAGCAAAAGAGATAAATTAAGGAGTTTGGTAAAGTTGATAGGCTGGTTATTTCAGAATCATCACAATAGATATAGTTAAGGAGTTTTGTAAAGTTAGTAGGCTGGTTATTTGAATACTACGACAATCGAGTTTAATTAATGAGTTTGGTAAAGTTGGTAGGTTGGTTATTTGAGTATTATAGCAATAGAGTTCCGTTAAAGAGTTTGGTAAAGTTGGTAGGCTGGTTATTTGAGTATTATAGCAAAAGAGATAAATTAAGGAATTTGGTAAAGTTGGTAGGCTGGTTATTATAGAATCATCACAATATAGTATAGTTAAGGAGTTTTGTAAAATTGATAGGCTGGTTATTTGAGTATTACAACAATCGAGTTTAATTAATAAGTTTGGTAAAGTTGGTAGGCTGGTTATTTGAGTATTACGACAATAATTGAGTTTAATTAATGAGTTTGGTAAAGTTGGTAGGCTGGTTATTTGAATACCACTACAGTTAAGTACTTGTAATTTTCTAAATCTTTGTAATCCTTTTAAGGTATATAATATATCCTTATAATCCTTAAATAATCAATAGTATCATCGTAAATAATGATGTTTGTTTCTGTATTCGATTCTAATGCTTCTACTACATTCAACTGATTCAAATTTAAATTTTGATTATCTGTTTCATTATTCGATTCTAACGTTTCTACCATATTCATCTGATTCAAATCAAAATTTTGAATCAATTGAGATAATTCCCCATGTAATGAATGAGAAGATTTATCAGACAATTGAATATTTGATTCTTCATTTATTTGTTCATTTTCTAATGTATTAGTTTTTGTAAGAGTTGCATTTAATGAATCAACTATTTTGTTTATTGCTGGACGCTTTTCTGGCTCTCCGTCCCAGCATTCTAAAATAATATAATAAATTCAATTTAATGATCGAGAACATTATTTATTAAATTATATTATATTAATATATTTACCTGTATAAATGCTTACGTAATATTCAGGAGTGCCAGGAATGACACTTTCTCTGAGACCTTGTATAATGTCCATAGCTAAAGTAAAGTCATATTCTTCACCTTTAACATAAAAAGGCGGTCTACCACTTGATATCTCCCATAACAGCACGCCAACGCTGTAAACGTCACTTTTTTTATTTAGCATATATCGTTGAAATGTATTGTCATTTTTTCTCTGCCTATCAAATCTTTTGGGATCAACATAAGGAAGTACACCAAATACTTCTGAATGTTTTTTAGTTGCTTCTTCAATTCTTTTAGATAATCCAAAATCTGCTAATTTAATAGCATGTTGATGAATTAATATATTATTGGAATGCTATGTATATAAAAAATAAAAAAATTAATGTTAATTATTAACGTTAACAGTATTGGAATCAAATGTATATTATGTAAGATTATCTACCAAATCACGATGGACAATTCCTTCTTCGTGTAAATATGAAACAGCGCTAGTTAACTGGCATGCAAATTTGTGTTTATCATCCCAAGTTAGTTTATCAAAATTATCCTTCAAATATTTTCTAAGTGCACCGCCATCGGCATATTCCATCACTAACAAATACTTTTTCAATTGATTATTTTGTTTTTCTAATTTTTAAAAATAAATAAATGAGTTAGAAATAAAATTAAAAATTAAAAATATCAATAGATATTTAATAAACTTTATCATGATCATTTACTTTGTTTTGAAGTTATCCCATAAAAGCGAATAATATTACTATGATCATTCACTTCACGATGGAGTTCGAGCTAAATTATTTCGAATATAAATTTTAATTTGATATATAAATAATTTTATACTAAATAGACTGAAATACAATATTGCATTTTGAAATCACCTCACGAATAAGTTCTTTAACAGTGTCATTGTTAATGCAATGAAATGATTTTAACGCACGGTATTGCTTTGAACTTTTCCAATTTGAACGGTAGACTTTTCCAAAGCTGCCTTTACCAATCTCTTGAAAGTTGTTAAAATGTTCGTATTCGTAGTATTTGATATCTTTGTTTGAAACATATTCTTCAATCCATTCATTTGAATTATTGGAAGTTTGCATATTTAATTATATATTTAGCGATAAAATTTTTTTAGAGAAAAAAAATGTGTTCGGTAGATCATGCTATCATATATTTAAGCCACTTGGTCATATGAATGATCGGTGTAACTGACCTACAGTAATTGAGATTGTTAGATTGTCAAAAAAATAAGTATTATTAAAAATTTAAATGTGTTTAAGTAATTGTAAAGGAAAATATTACATGATACATGTCAAATTTGTTATACCTCAAAATTTAATAAACTTATCACGAATTATATGATTTATATTTTAAGTTTTTCTTTCATATATATTCATTAGATTAGATGCTTTACGAGTAGGAACAAGCAATTGGCTTAGAAAATCAATAAAATAAATGGACAACTCGTTTATTTAATTTAAATTATTACGTAAAAGTTCTGACGATTCTAGGTCAGATTACAGAAATTTATGTAAAAAATCCTATCCTATGCTATACTGATAGATAATTAATTATAGCTATATAAATAATTATAATAGATGAGTAATGATAAATTAATAAATAGATTAAACTTACATCTTTAAATCGATGCAAAGTTGATAAAATTGCCATTCCACAATACTGCAGAGCAGATTGTCTTGACGCAATATATTTTCGAGTTAACACCGTATTTATTATTGCTAAAATGGGTTAGTCGAGTAAAAAAAAAAAGTGATCATAGAAAACGAAAATAACAAAAAAAAAAAAATCAAAATCAAAATTAAAAGATATAAAACTTGCTTTCTTTTGAGGTAAGCCAACCGAAAGTGGAAGAAATAAATCTTGAAATATATTTTACGACCGCAACGACCCAGTCACTATAATAATAATAATAATAATAACCAATAAATTAATGAAACATAGAACAATTTTACACTTAATAATTTAACAGCCAGAAACATTCAATTTCGATAGAAATCGGCTAAAAAAAAAACAGAGAAAAATTTTAAATTTTTTAAAAAAAAGATAAACAATAAAAGCTTACCAAAAAAACATCTAACCGAGAAGAACCCGAAAAAAAAAAATAATAACCCAACCCGAAAGAGGAAAAAAAGTAAAACGTTGCCTTATTCTTCTTCTTTATTTCTAAAATAAAAAAGAACAATCAGTTGTTAAAATTTTCCAGTTTTTTTTTTGTCGTTCGTACAAAACAATAAAGGATATAAATTGGCATGTTTGTATACAGTGATGTGTGTGCATTTTCTATGAAATACTGTTATGTATGCAAAACAAGAAAAATAATTTTTTTTGACCCTCTTTCAAGTATGTATTAGAAAACTATTTAGAACTATAATATTAGTGCCATTTCAAAATAATATCTGTGCTTTAAATAAACAAGGAAAAAATGGTTTATGTATATATTAGAAGTTTATTAAAACTTAAGTTTAAAGTTGGAAAATAATTTCCTAATTTGTAATTAATAGATTTCAAGCACCGCGGAGTCTAAAGATGTGAAGAGTCACTCAAATCAATACAACATAAATACATTATCATAGTTGATAAAAAAATAAAGGAAATAATTTTGTTAAACTTCCAGTTTGAATAATTATTGCAATTTAAAGAGCCTACATCAAAAGTGGTTTCGTAATGTTTATAAATCCGGTGCAAGAATAACATGCATCTGTATTGATGTTTAGAATTCTCCATTCCAACTTTAATGAAAATTTATTTTAGCCATTATAAATATTTAATCATGGCTGATAAGTTTAGGATTATTCGATCGTAAATATAATACAAATTCAGATAGTATCATTTTTTATCAGTCAAACGATTAAAAAATCATTTCTTATTTTTTTTTATGATTTAAATTATTAAAATAAGATAGATATATGGGAGGTTTGCTTGGAAAATGGTTTAATTTTTATTGCATTTTGATTTTTGAGTATATTAGAATAAAATGCAATAAGTATGAAATTTTAGTCAACGAATTTTCAGAACCCCATTTTCCTAGCAAACCTCCCATATTAGGAATCTATATCGGTCGAAAACCTATATGGGAACTTTTTCAGTAAAAGTCATAACTGGAAACTCTCCCATATAGGCCACGTTCAATAATTATTATTTGGCAGTACAGTATAAAAAATTCAGTTCCACATAATATTAATAAACCGTGAAATAAATTAAGCTCATCCTGAGAAGAACCGGTACTTGATTTATCTCTTACAGCTGTCTAAGTAGGTTGCCGATATATAACAACATGTAAACATTTTATAAATAACATATTTTTATATAACTTTATTGCATAATGTTTCCAAAAAAGTCAACTCAAATAAAAAAATATTTTTGAAATGGGAAAGGATTTTGTATGGCGATACTAAGTATATTTATCACTTTTAAGAAACAATAGAAACAATTACACTTTCTCAATGATTTACCGTGCTATACAATATGAATCGTTACATGAATTATAATTTTTATCTAATTCCGGCCCGATGTATAATATCTGTTTCGTAATATCAATGACTATAAATTTGTTATAAAGGGATGAATTTCGAATAATCGTCTCTGGGGGAAAAAACAAAGTCCTTCCTTCATATAATCAATAATTTTAAATTTATCTAAGCTTTAATATTTACAATTAATGATTTATTTTATTGAACTCGAAACATACTCTTCCTCATCTTCCTCAGAAAGAGTTTCAGTGAGGAGGAAATCAAATATGATTTTCATTTCATTTATCGGAAAAATATGCTAAAATATAGATCTCATAATACGGCAATGGCAATGAACAAATGTATCTGAATGGTGGAAAAAGCTTTCAGTGGACGAAAACGGACGAAATTGCAAAGACAATATAAAATAAATCGAGATCGGAAATTACGAAATGATACCAGTGTACGTGCGGTTATTGACCAAACTAACCAAACTAGTTCTCAATCTGATGTAGAAACGACAAGAGAAGAAAGATACGATAAACCAGGATTATCGAGATCAAATGAAATATGAATATTCGAGAGATCAAACCATAGATGAAGCCAAATATTTTACCCAAGGGGATGAAGAAAGGTTGTTATTTAACCGAAAATCCTTCAGAAAAATTTGAATATATCAAATATTTTGTAAATTCTTTTATTAGTAATTTTATTTTCTTTTCTTTTATTCGAACTATTATCGTAATTCCCTTTAACTCGAATTCTTCTTTCTAGAAATAGCGTTTTATTACTCTCTCGTCAAGTTTCTAAAACCTGAACCTTATTCTCTCACTTTACGTATCATAAATCTGTGGGCGATTTAGATTTTAAGCTTTAAATACGTTATGCTATTACTACTTTAATATTTCATAATTTGTTACATAATATTTTTTGGAGGGGATCTAGAATCTTAAGAATTTACTAAAAGCTAGTGTTCCGTAAGGGTCGGGTCGAGTTTGAAACTCGAACCCGTTAACATTTACAGGACCCGAATTTGACTCGACCGGATTATTGTTCGACCCGACCCGATTATTGTTTAACACGGATTCGACTCGAATTTTAAGGTAATATAAATACCGAAAGTTCAAAAAAAAAATTATTATACAGATAATGAAAAAAGTGCAATAAATTAGAAAGTTTATTATTTTTTTAAGTATTTGGTTGTACATTAATTAAATTTAGAAATTTCAATATGTCCACCAGGAATTCAAACACATGCAGGAGTGATTACAGACCACATCCAAACTCATTCTACAGGAATACTCGTTGCTTTATTTAAATAATTCCATTTTTATTTGGATGATGGCGCTCAAAATGGCTCTAAAATTTTTAATAATAATATCCTGTAATATACCAATTATATATAATATATTCTATTAAAAAATACATACAAGCAGTTAAGACAACTAACTTCACGATGAGTTTTTGAATTTTATGTTCAGGTGGAAGAATATTCTCTTCAAAAAGTTCACTTCGCAATGCTTTTCGTTTTCCAAGAGTAGCTGTATTATCGGAATTAGTAAGGTCGATAGTTTCACTCTTATTTAAATTAAAGCCGCGTAACTTGTGCATATCATTTATATTTAATCACATCACCTGGTCATTCGAGTCACCCGGGTCAAGAAAATCGTGACCCTAACGCGACGGGTTTTAAGAACTTAGGACTCGTGACATAAAATGATAGTCCCGACTCGAATTTCTTCTCGAGTCGGGTCAAATGACCCAGGTCGACTCGACTGGCTCAGAGCACTACTTATAGCAAACGATTCAAATATTTTTCGATGAAAAGTGATCTGTTATTCTATTTTATAATATGAGTCTTTTGCATTTATTCTATGTTCTTATCGATAAAGATATTTAAATAAAGTTGAATCGGATTATTTAAGATTATTAATTATGAAATTTATAATAAATTCACAAGCTTCTTTTGTAAATCTTTCTACTTTATTATTATGATTATTATTATAAAATTTACAAGTAACCATTGACCAAAGTATGAGGAAAACTTTAAAGTAAGGCTCAGATCAGAATTAATTTGCAGAAATTTCCTATTTTAAAGACGTAAACATCATTTTAACAAACTTTCCGTGTAACAAACAAATTGAATGCAATAACGATTCTGTCGATCCCTAATTTTGAAAAGAGGGACTTTTTTTTTGTCATGCATCATAAAAAAAAAAATCTTTTTAGTTAACAAATCGATTCATGTGAAATTTTACCATTATATGCTTTGTATCCTTTTATTTTGTAATCAACATTAGTATATTTTATGTTTCATTTTTTAATGTGGATTTTAGAAGGTAATAGACAATTACTTACCATGATCTATGCTTCCGAAAAATTCCAACTTTATTCGGTCATATCTTTATAACGATAAATAGAAATTCATTGTTATATTTTGAAAATTACATTATTAAAAGAAATTTTTAAAAAAAACTAACACATTACATGTAGTTTCGTATCATTCTACTGCAAAGCGCCCGCCCATATGGTCTAATAGCTCTTGATCTTAGCTTAATTCAGAGATTTTTTGAATAATTGAATATAGAATCTTATCCTTTAGAACCCCGTCGTCAAGAAATTTTTATCTATATAATCTTATAATTTTCAAAAAATAAGAATGTTTAAGAAAACACGATAAAAAAAATGTGTCACATTACTTAATATTAATCATCATAGGGGGAAAACTACCAGAAAAATCAAATTTACTTTATTTATCCAAATATGATATATTATCAGGCTGAAATATATTCAAACTTAGCATTAACTTATTTTTAATTTTTTTTCTAGTTGCAAAAGCCCCCCCCCCCCCCCAATATTACATTTTATTCTTAAAATAAAAAGCAAAAAATAAATATTTATAAAAGTTCAAATATTAATTATTTACTCATAATATTCTAAAAAATATATAACATGATTTATCATCCCTTTAAAGGTAATTTTCTTATTAATTAATGTTAAAATCATTATAAATTTTATTTTATCTTTAAATTAACTTCATTATATAAAATTATAAAACAAATTTATATGGCAATTCTTATATTAATTCAAAATTATAAGACTATTTATAAAATCAAATTTATAAATTTTATATTATTATAAATGATTGCAAAATATATAAATAAAAATTAAAGTAAAAAATTTTATATATTAATAATTTTATTATAATTAAAAATAAAGCTAATAAATATATAAATATTTAGAATGTATTCTAATTAAAAAATGGTTATTATATAATATAATTAATTTTAAATAATTAAATTAAATTGAAATTTTTATTATTTAATTAAAATAACTTATAAATTAAATATAAGTAAAATAAAATATAAAAATTATAACATAATAATTAAACTTGAATTTTGTTCAAAAATTGAAAATTATAATTTATTGCTAGTGCGATTTATTGCCAGCCTTAATTTATATGATCAGATGGTTAGGAATATTTGTCATATAGTATCATATTGATTAGTTCTTCATTTTTATTAAGTATTTCAAAGACTTAGTTTTTTGATAAACAAAATCCTATTTGTCATTTTTATATAACATAAAGGTGATAGAATTATTATAAATCGCACTGGTGATAAATTACAAAACCCTAAAAATTTATATTTTTATTTTTAAATTAATATTTAAATATTTAAAAATATACATTTATTTTTTATCTTAAAATCAAAGTTTTACTATTTTAATTAAAGAAGGCATCATAATTAAAAAAAAATGTCACAATTGAGTTGCAACTTGTAACGCAATTAAATTTCCTTATTCCTTAGATTGACTAGCAGGCAAATTTGCATGTGAAATTAAAAATAATTGTTAATTTCTTTATAAAATATTAAATATTAATTTTAGTAATATTATTACTATATAAAAAAT